GACTCTCGATTTTCTTTTGTTTGTTCTATTCCGAAAGCTTTGGCACTCGATTTATCGAACACCGCACCGCATCGTGGGCATAACGATACATCTTCGTCTTTTTCTTTCTTTCTCGTTCGGGAATTCAACGAGGGAATCTCCTCGCTTGAGGGTATATCTCCTTCTCGAATTCCTTCTCGAACTCACTCAGATCAAATTCCATATCTTCTTCGGATACGTCCATCCTGACATGCTTGGGATCGATGTCTTCAGTAACATCGACCATGCCTATGAAGGTGGCGTTCGTCAGTCTACAGTCATCATTTATCTCAATTTGGGATTCAATATATCCCACTTGGACTTCGAAAGGATTCGTGTCCACTTTCATTGCAATTTTTCCAAACTTCAGCCTTCCTTGATCGATCGCATCTTGGATCGTGTTCCTGAAATGTATACAATTGTTAGTCCAAATGTCCATAAACATTATGAAATTTGCAATACTTTCGACCACTTCTTTGTTCTCGCAGAGGCGCTTTGTGATCGTCACTCAACTTAATCTGTTTATCTTTTAATAGAATATCGAAGATCTTATCTACCTTTGTTACATCGAAAGTATAAGTTCGATTTGCCATTTTATCTTTCACTTCATTCTTCTGTAGTAATTTACAAGTATATGGAGCTCCTATTTTGAGCTCTGCTATATTTACTTTCTCATCGACATTTTCTTCGATATTATCTGTCGTGGGATCTACCTCATACACATCATTTATATAGGCTATTCTTTCTTTTTTCACAGGTTTCTCAAATTTCTTGTATCTTTGTTTCTCATATTCGATTTTCTCCACTCTTCTCACTTTATCAGCTAATTGAGCCATGTCATTTAATGGCAAATTCACTAATTTTTTCCTGATCGAGAATTCTAAACCTGCGGAAGCCATCCTGACTAATTCATATTCGGGAATTTGAGTGAAACATCTCGATTTCATTTGTCTAAATCGATTCAGATAATCATCTATGTTTTCATGATTATATCGTTTTATGTTCATCAAATCAATGAGACTTACTTGAGTCTCTCCTCTAAAGAATTGCTCATGAAAATTTCTTTCTAACTGTAACCAATTGTATATCGAATTGGGTGGCAATGAAGTGAACCAAGTAAAAGCATTCTTAGTCAAAGAACTAGGAAAATATTTCATTTTTAGCTCTTCACTCATCGCTAAGTCTCCACATTCGATTTGATATCGAGCTACATGCTCGATAGTTGATTCACCAACTTCCCCAGCAAACTTAGTGAATTTAGGTACTTTATATCCTCGAGGCAACTCTGTCTCGAGAATCGCATTTGGAAAAGGAGATACAAAATATGTCTGATTGGGTGGTCTTAAATCCATCCCTTGGATATTCATTCTTTGTCCTAACATGTGATTATATTGCATATTATTTTGATTACGCATATTTTGAAGTCCCTCATTCAGGTTTCCATAAATATCATTCCTCACATGTTGATATTCATTCCCTATTTGCTGACATTGATCATTGTTCCGATTCCTTCTTAATAAATAGGGGGGATTAATATTCTGATTGGCATGATTCTCCATCCTCGTTTGTCGAGGTACAGCCAATGCGTCTCCGATTCGAGACATTTGATCTGCTAATATCTCGAAACTAGCAGTAGTATTTTGAACTAATGGGTTTAAGACCGTAGTTAACTGCTGTGATAACATATTCACCATTTCAAAATTACTCTCATCCATTTGTTGTCTAAGAATTCTTAGGGAGTTACTGGAAATTCCAGTATTATTATTTTCGATATTCTCAAAATTAGATCGATGATAGTCCCTATCAAATGTATACCTCCCATGATCGGGATTCCCTCTAGGATCTAGATTCGGAGATGTCTGTTGTATACCTAAGTTTTGCCCACTCCCTGAATTTTGTGATGTCACTGAATTTTGAGACGTCCCTAAATGTGAAGATACTCCAAAGTTTTGTGGCATGCCTAGGGTTTGGAATGTACCTACGTTTGGGGGCATTCCTAAGTTATATCTTGAATTTCTGTGAATCGATGAAGCGCCAGCTCCGTTCATATTATTGGGTAAAAAACCAGGTGGTCTTACACTCGTATATGACCCTGCATATGTGGTTATGGGGTTTCCCATAGTTGGCATACTATTTGGTATCGCCATACTAGACCCTATATGGGTGTTTGCCAATGTTCCTGGATTTTGTTCATTACTTGCTGGTATCGACGTACTTACAGTTGTCGATACTACAGGCATACTCCCATTGTGCCCTTGTCCCCCAGTATTTGGTGAGAGCACACCACTTAGACCCTCATTGTTATTCTGGTTACTGGATGAATTCTGACTCATTCTTATAACTCTCCCACTTCTTAATCTCATACACTCTCGAACTAACCTCTTTTGTGTTTTTTTTTTTCACACAAGACAACCCCCCTACCTGGCGCGCCAATTTGTTTCTGGTGGAATTTCGATCGATTTCGATTCTAAGGGTGTTTTGGTCCTAATCAAAATTCTACCACGTAAGTTCTTTTTACTTAGGCTAGCAATTTGATTTTCAATCGACAACGTGTATGAGAATCGACAATTACATGTATTGAAAACTCTGTTTTTGATATTTTTGTGATTTAAAGTATCGAAAGCAGTAAAGACGTCAAATCGGAAAAGCGGAATTTTTAAAGTGCGAGACAATGTAAAGTGCTAAACCCATTAAGATTGCGTGAAAAGTAAATAGCAGGAAATCGAAACATGCGGAAATCGAAATGGACAGAATATTGAATGACTAGACATTTAGATGCAGAAATCTAATTTGACATTGAATCGAAATGACATTGAATGTAAAGTACAAAAACATGAAATTGCTGAATCGAAATTGGTCGAAAGTAAATTACCAAGGAAAATAAAGAAAGCGATAAATGTACTCCGTGAGCAGTGAAATCCGCATCGCCGTAAGCTTCATGGTGTTCGTCGTTTCTCCGTAGACTTTTCACTACCGGTTCTCGTGCTCCGCCAATTTTTGCTCCTCTGTTCCTTCTTCCTTTGCTCTATTTATAGTGGCATCCTTCAAACCTTCCTAAGAGCAGTTAACACGACTGCTACCACGTTCTACGTGCGTATGACAGTTTATCTTCTATAGTTTCCCACGTTCTCATGATCTCCGACTTTTTCCCATGATTTCAAAACTGCTCTTTATACGTGCATTCGACTCACTTCCTTTCACGATTTGGCCAAAATCTCGATGTCCACATTGGTTTTCTTTACTCTCGATTCTGTATTCTTTGAGAATTTCGAATTGCTTACGATTCCTTTTTAGCCCTGGTCTTATATGACTTAGTCTTTATTTGACAACAGTCATTCGATTCTCGATTGTGCTTCTCGATGCTATATGCTACGTGTTTCTAATTGGACATCGAATGAATTTTTGTTTATCTTATCGAGTCACATTTCTTTTCCTTCGATTCCGATCGTTTTTCTCGATTTACCACTAACACAGAGAAAAAAAAAAGAAGAAGTAAACAGCCTTTACTTTATAAACTTTTTTTCATTTCACTTTTTAAGTTTGTATTTTAGTTATTTATCTACATGTTTAAGATAACATAATGTATTTATTTATCTCGCTGTTTTTACGTATAATTTTGGGATATTAAATATTTAGTGAATAAAAAGAAAGATATTTTGGTGGGTAACATACTTTGTGAAATAATAATAAATAAGAAAAGTTGAAGCGAGGGTCCCATGTCTGACATGGAATGCGCTGTCCGATAGGTCCCTTCCGTGCGGACATAAAAAACACGTCCGTCCGCCGGAAACCGTTCCGATTAACGGGTCCATTGGCCCACCAAACAACGTATTTTCAATTTATTAAACATCACGACTCATGTACCTACCTTCCTTTTATAGTTAGGGTTTTCAAAATTAAATCAATTAAAAATAAAATAAAATAATTGAAACACATATTGAGATCGATTTTATTTTCTTAACGACTTTTTAAGTGGAACAGTTTTTAGTTTAGATTTTAAATTGAAAATTAAACATATTTAATTATTTTATTTGGTTCAAATGTTTTATTAATAAAAAGATGAATTAATTTGAGTCACAAACATTTCTAATTACAGTGTCTAAAACGTATTTATGATCTGAGTATTTTTACGTTACATTTGAAAGTAAAAAAGAAAATATTCTTTATTAAAATTTGAAAAATTTATAATAATATTAATATATATTTAAAGATTAAAATAATAAACAAGTAATTAAATTTATTATTTGTTTGATGTCCTAAGAACGTGTTTTATACTAAATAAGAAGGAATGAAAAGGATGTTTTTTCTTATGTTATTATCTGGTGTGGATATTTAATGTTTATTTATATCAGAAGGGAAAACTCCTACAAGTTTGGTTCGGTTATATTGGCAATGTCAGACTGTTAGGTTTCGCATTCTTGCACAATTAATAACCATTTTTACTTTGATTATCAGCAAATGTTAAATCAGTTTTAATTTTTAAGTATTTGAAAAAGAAACCATTCATGATGTAAACGTAACAAATGTTTTTAACAAAATTGAAATTGCTAATTATTTCATAAAAAATATTTGAGTATTTTATTAATATTAACATGGGTAGATGCAGATCCGCATATAATAATATAATACCCTTATTTTTCAGTTTGATTTAATTTTACACTATTTGTGTTGTGGGAGAGTAAAGCGTGGGTTAGTGAAGTTGACGATTGCTTTGTGCTGTTTTGGCGTGTCTCTGATTCTTCTTCTTCAAGTCCATACAATAGAATACAAGATTTCCCCACTTAGAAGCTTATGTTTTGTGTCTTTTTAACAAAAAGTAGCTTACTCTATCCGCAGATTTTTTTTTCCTGCTATTCTCCCACTTTTACACCACTGGAATAAACTTCAAATCTTAGTTCGTTACAAAAGCCTTTTTCTTTTGCTTATTGTTCTTGTTGAATGAGCTAAGTGCAAGGCTTTGTGTAAAGGAAGAAAATAGATAGATGGATAGTTACCTGAGTGAGAATTTTGGGGATGTGAAAGCCAAAAACTCGTCGGAAGAAGCGCTTCAGAGATGGAGGAAGGCTTGTTGGCTTGTTAAGAACCACAAGAGGAGGTTTCGTTTCACTGCTAACCTCTCCAAGCGATTTGAGGCTGAAGCTATCAGACGCTCTAACCAGGTTTCTTCTATGTTTTTTTTTTTTTTTTTTTTTTTTTTTTTTATCACCTCACTTTCCTTTACGTTTTTTCCTGCCAGATCAAGACAAGTCAGAACTAAAATGCACTTTTACTTCTTGTTTTGGCGTTTTGTGTCCACGAATCTGAATATATTTACATTTTTTTAACTCTTTAATGGTAAGTATTTATAGTTATTATGGAAAGATGGAATCTGATATGGTTTGAGTTGAGCCAGGCGTTTTTGGGTTAGTGGAATGATCGGAATGATGGTTTTCCTTAAATTAGTTCATCTTGATTTTACTTCCGCACCAATAGAGAGAGCACTGGTTACTCTGATCCAGAAATTAAAATTTGCTATTTGATGCTTGTGGTTGTTCTCGTGGAATGGTTGTGGATATTTTCATCCTAGTCACGCACTTGTGACATTGACCATGCTTCGCTGTCTGCTTGGTTGGATTAAGATAAAGAATCCTTTTACTAGCTTTAAAACTTCCAAGTTGTTTTTCCCGCATCCTTTTCTCTGCAAAACTGGGAAATGGAATGAATAGTAGTTGTTTCTCTGAACGTAATATTTACATTGGTCCATTTTATTGATAATTTTCACTTCTTTCCTTTTCTTATTGTCTATGATTTTAAGACCAGCCTATGTTGCATATCGTTTTGGTTTTTGGGGTTATGTTAGTAATGAATGACTTCTAATTTTAGGGTAATAAGTAACAATCGAATGACAATGAATAACTATAACTATAAAGTACAATCTTCAGTGAAAGAATAATCTAGCCTTGATGCTTGAGGGGGATTTGTATTGTTGGTGATAAATTGCGAATTTTCTCAAACTTGCATAGCTAGTTATTCTTTACGTATTTCAGCAGTACTTAAGTTTGAGCAGGTAACACTTTGAATTCCAAGACATGGATTTTCTGAATTTTAATAAAAAAAGTTATAAAATTTGTCCCATCACTGCCCTGCTACATTCCAAGATTACTCTAATCGCTTAATTCCATTATCTCTTCCCCCGCCATACGTTACAGGAGAAATTCAGAGTTGCAGTGTTGGTTTCACAAGCTGCTCTTCAGTTTATTCATGGTAAGAGAGTCAACTTGTATGCACTTTAAATTTTTTGTGCAAGTTTCAGATTTAGACAATAACCAAGTTTTTACTTTTCCAGGTCTAAATTTGTCAACTGAGTACACTGTACCCGAAGAAGTTAAAACTGCGGGCTTCGAAATTTGTGCTGATGAGTTGGGATCAATTGTCGAGGGACGTGATGTGAAGAAGTTGAAAATTCATGGTGGGGTTGAGGGTATCATAAACAAACTCAATACCTCAGTTGATGATGGTATATCAACTTCTGAGTACTTGCTGAATCAGAGGAAAGAAATTTATGGAGTTAATAAATTCATTGAAAGTCCACCACGCGGATTTTGGGTTTTTGTATGGGAAGCCCTTCAAGATACAACCCTCATGATACTTGCTGTCTGTGCCTTGATCTCTTTGGTGGTTGGTATAGTGATGGAAGGGTGGCCCAAGGGTGCGCAGGATGGAATTGGTATTGTTGCTAGCATATTGCTTGTAGTGTTTGTCACTGCCACAAGTGATTACAGACAATCACTTCAGTTTAAGGATCTAGATAAAGAGAAGAAAAAAATTACAGTTCAGGTTACGAGAAATGGTTGTAGGCAGAAGCTTTCAATATATGATCTGCTTCCTGGTGATATTGTACATCTAAATATTGGAGATCAGGTCCCTGCTGATGGGCTTTTTGTGTCTGGTTTCTCAGTGTTAATAAATGAATCAAGCTTAACAGGGGAAAGTGAACCAGTGAATGTCAGTGAACTTAATCCCTTTCTGCTGTCTGGAACCAAAGTCCAAGATGGATCATGCAAGATGCTAGTGACTACTGTTGGAATGAGGACCCAGTGGGGTAAACTAATGGCTACCCTAAGTGAAGGGGGAGATGATGAAACACCTTTGCAGGTAAAACTCAATGGTGTTGCTACCATTATTGGGAAAATAGGCCTCTTTTTTGCAGTTGTGACCTTTTCTGTGTTGGTCCAAGGACTACTTAGCCGCAAGCTACGAGAAGGATCCCAGTGGACATGGTCTGGTGATGATGCTATGGAAATTGTGGAATTCTTTGCTATTGCTGTTACTATTGTTGTTGTTGCGGTTCCCGAAGGCTTACCTTTAGCTGTTACATTAAGCCTTGCTTTTGCAATGAAAAAGATGATGAACGATAAGGCACTTGTTCGTCACTTGGCTGCTTGTGAGACAATGGGATCTGCCACTACCATCTGCAGTGACAAGACTGGCACACTAACTACTAACCATATGACTGTTGTAAAAGCTTACATATGTGGAAAGATTAAAGAAGTAAACAGTTCTAAGGCCTCTTCTGATTTCTCTTCTGATATTCATGATTCTGCTCTTGCAATTCTACTTGAATCAATATTTAAGAACACGGGAGGAGAAGTTGTCAAAAACAAAGATGAGAAGATTGAAATTCTGGGATCACCGACTGAGACTGCACTCTTGGAGTTCGGGCTGTCACTTGGCGGTGATTTCCTAAAAGAACGACAAAGGTCAAAACTTGTGAAAGTTGAGCCATTTAATTCTATAAAGAAGCGCATGGGGGTGGTTCTACAGCTTCCTGATGGTAGTTTCAGAGCACATTGTAAAGGTGCCTCTGAAATAATTCTAGCTGCATGTGACAAAGTTGTGGACTCAAGTGGTGAGGTTATTCCACTCAATGAAGACTCCATCAATCACTTGAATGATATGATTGAAACATTTGCTGGTGAAGCTCTCCGAACCCTTTGCCTTGCTTACATGGATATCCATGATGAGTTTTCTGTTGGAACTCCTATTCCTGCTAGGGGTTACACTTGTATAGGAATTGTGGGTATTAAAGATCCAGTTCGCCCTGGTGTTAGAGAGTCTGTTGCCATTTGTAGGTCAGCTGGTATTGCTGTTAGGATGGTCACCGGAGATAACATAAATACAGCAAAGGCAATTGCTAGAGAGTGTGGAATTTTAACGGATGGTATTGCAATTGAAGGCCCTGAGTTTCGTGAGAAGAGTGAGGAGGAATTGCTTGATATCATTCCTAAAATTCAGGTACATACATGTCATTTATTCGATTTTGTTGGTTTTCACTTCCTGTCTTATACTTGAAAAGTCTAGATAGAGGTTGCCATGTACATGCCAATATCGTAAAAGAACAATTCATCAAAAAATTCCCGTTTGAAGTTTGATATTTCCTTTTACAGCCTATGCAAAATTAGGACCCTGCTTATATATGCTGTAAGTTACAGTATAATAATTTAAATATGCCATCTACCTAAGGGGTGTATTCAATTGGGATTTCAAAAGATTTTTTTTACATTATAAAGCCTTAAAATGTCTTGTAGAATTTAAAATATTTTGTAAGAATGTAATAAGTTATTACAATTTTTTTTTAGAAGACAGTATTTTGTAAGGTGGATTTTAAAAGAATTATAAAATATGAAATCACAAGATTTGAAAGGATTTTATGGATTTACAAGAATTTAAATTTCATGTATTTTAGAAAAATCATAAATACTTTGTACTTTTACCTTTTTACGATAGAATGCATCAGTACCTATTTTCCTATTTTGCAAAATTACGCGAATCAAAATGCATTCTAGTGGTAGTCGGAGCGAATATTATGATACTAGGCTATAAGACCATTACTGGAAATAGTATGCCAACTATCATTGAAACTAATTTATTGGTGAGATATATATTGATGCCAATAATGGACCATTAGAATACAATGGGTGAATATTCAACATTGAATGTAATAGTTTTGCGTCCTACATTACACTTCACCAAGAACAAAAAGTCTTCTACAATCAATATGTGATGTCTATATGTGCAGGTAATGGCCCGATCTTCACCCATGGATAAGCATACCCTGGTAAAACACTTGAGGACAACATTTCAAGAGGTTGTTTCGGTTACTGGTGATGGTACAAATGATGCTCCAGCACTTCATGAAGCAGATATTGGACTTGCAATGGGCATTGCCGGAACTGAGGTATGCAAAAACAACTCTCTGTTGACTTGTCTTAGTTAAAGTCTTTATTTAATTTGAAAGCATGACTGCTTTTGTTTGAGTGAGCGTTATATTTGCTTCTACATTTCACGGGGAATTGGGTAATTGGATTTAGCGGGTATGGTTCATCGTCTTTATTTTCTAATGCAACTGTAATGCATTGGGATAACATATTGCTCGAGTTCTCTAATTTATATTACTAGATGTAAAGTGCTATTCATTCCATATTTGTTTTAGGTGATTTTGGGAAATAATTTTTTTTTTTTTTAAATCTAGTTCAGGGAGTTGATAAAGAAGCTGTTATTTCCTTAAATGATACTGAACCAAATGCTTTGCTCTGTATTTTTAATACTTAATATGTAAATTCCTAATTGATGAATTGGCTGCTAGTGGAGGGTCTTGATGCTTGGAAGCATTATACTGAATTCTACTTGATGATATATGTTGTTAACTTTTTTGTTTTATCAATTTCAGGTTGCGAAGGAAAGTGCTGACGTAATAATTCTAGATGATAACTTTTCCACTATTGTGACCGTAGCCAAATGGGGCCGCTCGGTCTACATAAACATTCAGAAATTTGTGCAGTTTCAGCTAACTGTTAATGTTGTTGCTTTGATAGTCAATTTCTCTTCTGCCTGTTTGACTGGTAATCACGATGGTGCCCGTTTTTATCTTCTTGATCAAAGTTTTCTTCTTAGTTTTTGAACTAATTTACTACTTTTTTTGTCTCATTTTCATCATCATAAATGATTTGTTAGGAAATGCTCCCCTCACTGCTGTTCAACTCCTTTGGGTCAACATGATTATGGACACTCTTGGAGCACTTGCACTTGCAACTGAACCTCCTAATGATGAGTTGATGAAAAGACCACCTGTTGGTAGGAAAGGAAACTTCATCAGTAATGTGATGTGGAGGAACATCTTGGGGCAGTCTATGTATCAATTTGTCGTAATATGGTTCCTCCAGACTAGAGGAAAAGCAACATTTCATCTTCATGGCCCAGACTCTGATATGATATTGAATACCCTTATTTTCAACTCATTTGTGTTCTGTCAGGTAAAGTTAAAATCATCACCGCATTGTACTTATCTCAATGTTGGTCTTTCTTTGCTCTAATATGGTCCTGAATTTGAATGAACAGAAGTTATATTAATTGAAAATTCTGCCTGGCTTTGGAGTCTTCTTTTTGTCGAGTTCCTGACTTCTTTTGCTCTGTCATTTCTTTTTCTTGTTAAATTCAGTGGACAAAATTTTAATTCTGTACCATCTTTAAATGCTCGTTACCTGGATATGATTTCATGTCCAGACTTTGGTTTTTCCTTTTCTCTTCACCTTTGTAGTTTATGCGTGGTAGAAGTATGTTTTCCTCTAGTCAATTATAAAATATTGACAATATTTTTGCATAACCAATGTTCTGACTTCACTCTTTTGGGATATTAAAATATGATCAAATATTTTTCTTAATGTTAACCTGAGTGTATGTGGAGTGAAATTTCCTTAAAAAAATGTTCTATCTGTAATGTCTTCTGATTATGCTTTTTATGATGATCATCGTTTATTCAAATATATTTGGTAGGTTTTCAATGAGATTAGTTCCAGAGATATGGAGAGGATAAATGTGTTTGAAGGTATATTGAAGAATTACGTGTTCGTAGCTGTGCTTACTTGCACTGTGGTCTTCCAAATTATTATTGTTGAATTCTTGGGCACCTATGCAAACACATCTCCACTTAGTTTGAAGCAGTGGTTTGGTAGCGTTCTCTTTGGAGTCCTTGGCATGCCAATTGCAGCGGCTCTAAAGATGATCCCCGTGGGCTCTGTCTAAAATCAATGCAGACAAATTGGGTACGTCTCTGTTCTCGCTCGTAAATAAGGTGTTTAAAAGATGCCTATTAACTAAACAGTTTTATATGCATGACGTTCCATAAGCTGACAAATAAGAAACTAGTGTTGGTATTTGTTCCTGGTGTCAATGTACAAAATTTATACATTTGGCATGTTTGTCGTCAAATTAAATGATTTATTTTAAATAAATTAAAACCTTAATGTTACAAGGCGAGTTTGCAGTACAGAGATTCTAATTTCTGTTTGCTTCAGTAGTTTATTATTTTTATTATTATGACACTGCAGTAGCAGAGTGGCGGCGATGACTTCCTCCTGCAGTTTCTTTCTTGTGCATTTTCTTGATGCGTCTTTGTTGGATAACTGGTTGCTTCTTGTGTTCGAATTGCATGTTTTCGGCTAGACCAAGATAATAAATAGTTTAAGTTTTTAGTTATCATGACTGTCAACGGATCAAATGCAGGAGCTTATCCAGATTAGATTCTTCAAGGCACTGAGATTGGAGATCAAAGCTTCTGATATTGCCAATTAGGGTTTTCAGCTCACGCTGAACTCATTGTGAATGACTATGTATCAAAAGAAAATGCAAAGGAAAATTTATGCAAAGCTATCTCCCATTAGCTCATAGTAATTGAGAAAGCAACTTGTATTTCTCGGCATTTTAGACTCAAGTTTGCTGAATCAATTGTGGTGTAATTTCTAGGGTTACTTTTGATCAATTAAACTAGGGAAGTTCTCTAGCATTTAAGCAGGCAGTGTATCTTCAGTTATGAATATACAGGATACTGCTCGGTATCTATCTTAATGAGAAGGAAAACAATCACCAATTATCCTTGAATATCTCTAGAGTTCCATCTGGAAGTTTGAGGATATTTTTATTGGTATGGATCAATAGGAAAACTTTTGACTTTTGCATAAGGTAGGAAGAGGGAGGAGAATTATGTTTAGTGTACACATGAGGTTCACAAATTCTGATCATATACTGGAGTAGTGAAGTTCTTTCTGTTAAGTGTGTATGATATGCTATGCCGTTTCTTTATCAGAAGTTATCTCTGGCAGGTTGGTTCCTTTGTCTGATTAAAGTTAATGTTGACTATGCAGTTAGCCAAGAAAATTTGTGTATACCCATTATTTTTTGATGAGCAGAAGGGCAATGCCAAGAAGTAAAAAGTGCTTCCATTCAATCCTAAAGAAGCAGTGGTGTCTATAGACACAATCTTCGGCTTCTCAGAGTCGAAGGTACTCAACGAACGGGAGTTCAATAGGTCTGTTGTAAGAGAACTGCATTTGCTCTAGTTCCGCACAATGTATATTGTTCTGTGAATTGGGCAGCTCCATTTCTAGTTCCTTAAATAGGTTTAATATTTTTTTTTGGGTACTCATAATTTCAGTGCTGAGGCCGTTGGAACAAAATTATTTGATTGCTTGAAATTAGGTGGTCATGATTTTAATCTTGGAAGTAACTAAAATACGAAGCCGTTAGAGGATTTCAACACAGCTCATTACAAGATCTACCTGCACTGTTTGTTTTTTCACCTCGCTAACACAGGTTACCTTAAAAGTTACCTTCAAATGCAAATTTAAATCTCTCTACCATTTATTGCTTTCCTACTTTAACTTCATTCTTAGTCCAAAAATAGGGTTAATGATTACCTCTTGCAATAAAAAAAGTAACCTAAGTTACTGAATAAGCAAATAAACTCTGGGGTTGGTTAATGGAAAGAGTTAATTCAGAACCAAAAACTATAAGAACATGAGTATGATTTTCATAGAAACTTTATAAGAAACAAAATTTTAATATATATTTTGAGAGGGAAAAGGACAAAACCAGCTTCATTTTTTACTACCATATATTGTCTTCTAGGCTGAATATTATACAGTAAATTTTGTTTATTTCTTGTGGTGGTGCTTGATATCTTTTGGCAGTTAATTTTGTTGTAAAAGCTGACAGAGACATGAACAAATTTTATTTTTGAGACGTATATAATTATTGTCTTTAAGGACTTATCTGCGGTCTATTGCGCAAGTCTCCCAGGATACAACAAGAACTTTTCGGAATATCCAAGGGTCTTAGAAACTAGCAAGAAACTTTTAAAAAAGTAAATTAACTCAGGATAATAGAAAGAATATCAGAGAAGAGAAGATGAGAGAGGTGTGTTTTGAAGAGTGTGAAGTGATATCTATTTATAGGAGAAAGTCTGTACTAGAGTGAGAACACGTTCTCTGAAATGGTCTTTTACAATGTTCTTTGAAACAGTCTTCTGCAATGTGTGTGAGAACATGTTCTCTGAAACGGTCTTCTGCAACGTGTGAGAATACGTTCTCTGTTTTGCAATACCCCTTAATTTACAACAATCCCCCACATATTGCAAAACAAAAGGAGATAAAAGAATAAAAGAAAAAAAATTCTGAGTCTCATATAAGATGTAATGCATCAGAGCTGATATAACAAGCTATATGAACCAGTCTTAGACTGAAAAACTTAACACTAAGTGTAGTTGATGTAGCAAGCTATATGAACCAAAACACTTAATGTGTGTTAACGGTTTTAATAATCACAATACACCTCCACAATTCTTGCTGTGTTGCGCTTACTAGCCCATGCGCGTGCCCGATATTCATGAGTGCTCTAGAAATCTTGCGAAGATCTCATACAAGCAGCCCCACTTGGCACTCATATAGGTGACTTCATCAAGCGTATGCTGCAAATCATACACCACCCTTAAGAGATATGAAATCGTTAAAAACTTTGTTTAGACTAAAATTCGTACATCATATAAAATTTTAATTATAAAGTTTAACATTTCAATGATGCGGTATCTAACACTTTCACATATATACAATAGGAATGGACATAATTGATTTTAATCAATTTTAGTCCTAGCAGAACTAACAAGTGACTTGTTTTTACCCATATGAACCTTATTCATGGGATCTCCAATCACAAAGGTTGGATTACCATTACCTGTTTGTTTGCAAGTTGCTTAAGTCTCATTCTCCTCGATGTTTCTAAAATCATATTTCTTGCTAAGGGTTTTGTCAGAGGATCTGCTAGATTCCGTTATGACTTCACATAGTCAATAGAAATTGTTCCATTCTTTAGCAACTGCTTCACTAAATTATGTCTCAACTGTATATGTCTGTTTTTTCCATTGTAGTTTTTATTTTTTGCTATAGCTATTGCTGATTGACAATCACAGTGTATTGATACAGACAAGATCGGTTTCATTCCTAATGGAATGTTTACTAAGAATTTTTTCAACTACTCAGCTTCACTACCAGTCATTTCGAGAGCAACAAATTCAGATTCTATTGTTGATCTTGCAATAATTGTTTGCCTAACTAATTTCTATGTAATCGCACCACCCCCGAGTGTGAATACATAGCCACTAGTGGATTTTGTCTCATCTGAATCAAAGATCCATTTAGCATCACTATACCCTTCTAGTACAGCGGGAAATCTACTATATTCAATGGTATAATCCATTGAACCTCTTAAGTATCTCATAAGTCTTATAAGTGCATTCCAATGTTCTTGATTAGGACATCAAGTGTACCTACTCAGTCTACCTACTGCATAAGCAATGTTAGGTCTACAAAAGTTCATTAAATGCAGTAAGCTGCCAATTACCTGGGTATACTGAGGTTGAGAGATTGAGTCTCCTCTATTTTTCTTTAGCTTAGAGTTAGCATCATAAGGGGTATTCACTGGTTTGACGTTATACCACCCAAATTTTCTAAGAATTTTCTCAATATATTGTTCTTGGGATAGAAAAATACTATCGCTTTCTTTATGATTTTAACTCCCAAAATCACATTGGCTTCACCCATATCTTTCATTTCAAATTTAGATTCCAGAAACAACTTAGTTCTTGAGACAATGTCAATTCATATACCAAATATTAGCATATCATCTACGTATAAACATATAATGACACATTCACCACTCTCAAATTTAGAGTACGCACATTTATCAACATCATTAGTTGAAAAGTCATTACAAAGTAGAACACTATCAAGTTTTTCATGTCATTGTTTTGGTGCTTGTTTTAATCCATACAAGGATTTTAAAAGTTTACACACTTTGTTCTCTTGACCTAGAACAATATTCCTTTCAGGTTGAGTCATATAAATTTTCTCCTCTAATTTACCATTCAAAAAGACTGTCTTAATATTCATTTGGTGTATAACTAACTTATGGATAGCTGCTAGAGTTAACAAAACTCGAATAGAGGAAATCCTAGTCACAAGGGCAAAGGTGTCAAAATAATCAATGTTGGATTTTTGAATAAAACTCTTTGCTACTAATCTTTGCCTTATATTTATCTATGGATCCATCAAGATGATATTTTTTCTTAAAGATCCACTTACAATTAATGTATTGCATCAGGAGCCCTAATAGCATCTAAAAAACTCATTGGATCATTTTCAACTAGATAAGTGTAGAAATCATCTCCAAAGGAGGTTTCCTTCCTCTGTCTTTTACTTCTTCTCAAATCCTCATATATTTTATCATTATTAATATCTATAGATTATTTAAGTATCTCACTAACCTTTACAGAAAAAATATATTTAAAGAATTCAACATTTTTTTCTCCACTATAGTATTATGCTCAATTACATCACTTTTGAGGACAACTAACCTATAGGCAGCATTATGTTTTGCATAGCCTAAGAACATACAATCAGAAGTTTTAGAATCTATTTTCCTTTTCTTATGATTAGGTAACATTACCTTAGCTAGACACTCTCAGAGTCTTATATATTTAAGATTAGATTCATAACCTCTCCATAACTCATAGTGAGTTTTACCAATTTTCTTACAAAAACACACATATCTTCTCTCAGAGGTTATTTGGTGCACTAGGATTGTCTGATTAAGTATACTTTGGTGTATGTAGAGTGGTCATCTATAAATGTCACAGATCATATGAATCAATAATATAAGCAGAAGAACAAGATTTATTAACAACCTTAGAGATA